TCTAAGTCCTCCTCTGATGCCCTGCCGGCACTGCTTCCGGCCATCCTTAAGCCCGGTTCAGGGTCCACTCTTTCGAATTAGCAAAACGCTAATTCGAACTAGTTTTTTAGTCTGGATGCGTTAGTTCGAATTAGCTTAGTTCGAATTAACTAATTCGAACTAAGTTAGTTCGAATTAGCGCTGTGGTGTAGACATACCCCTTTAGACCTAGGCTAGAGCAGGCTCAGTTACTGTGAGAAGCCATGGCTTATGCCCAGTCTGATCAGCACCAGAGATTTAGAGAGACTCAAGCACACTTAATCAGAATGGACTCTTGAGAAATTGTCTCTACAGAGCATGTGCACCATGTAGAATGGGAGGGAGGAGCTAAGGTGCCAGAGGCAGGCTGTGGTTGGGAAACACTTACCTGGGCAGCTCCTGACCAGCAGGTCCCTTGAGGAGGCTCCTTGCCTGCTCTCTTTCCTCCCCCCCCCCCATTCCCTCTCCTCACGTCACTCAGAACTGCTGGCTGTAGGGTCTATGTGCATCTCTGAATGCTGCAAGCCCGAAAACCAGCCAGTGGGAACTGTGAGGTTGTGCGGAGGGTGGGGGGCAGCGTGCAAAGCCTCTCTCGCTCTCCCTGGGGTTCATAGCTTTGAGTGGTATGTGGGGGCACAGCAGGCGGGGAGCCTGCCCAGGGACCCTCTGGGACAGGGGCTGGATCCAGCAGTTTGGTGGGCCAGATTTGACCCACAGGCCATATTTTGCTTGCCTCTGCCTTATGGGGTGGCACTGGCAGTCCCTCCTGTAACAATAAGCATGTTGACATATCTGTGGCAGGCATCTAAATGTTTTAATACCACCTTCAAGATTAAATAACACTTTAAAAACTTGCTGCACGTTCTGTTCCTCTGCTTTCCCTAGCTAATGTATTACAGCTAAGCTGCAACTGTAGGGGAAAATTCTGGGCAGGAGGGGTGTGTGTGACAGGGATGAGGATAGAGGTCTGAGCATGAAGGAGATGGTGTGCGCTTACCTGGCTCTGTGCCCACCGCCGTGCCCAAGCATCCCGCCCAGGCCCCACCTCCTCCACTGCTCCCTTTGGCCAGGGCTGCAATCAATAGGAGCAGCAGTGAAAGCCTCCAGTCAAGCAGTTTCCTGTGCTGCCCTTCCCCCAGCCTGGAGGAGGGGGAGCAGCAGTGCCTGGAGCCACAGCTGCCTGGAGCCTCCCTCCCCACAGTGGGAAGCCGGCACTCGCGCTCCAACCTAATGGGGCAGGGATGTTGGCTGGAACGCCAATGCAGGCTCCCCGCTGCAGAGCTCCTGTGCCTGACAGTCAGTTCTTGGTCCACACTTTGAGAACAGCTACTCTGATCGTTTAGACTTCAAACACTAGGTCATTGAGTCAGTGCTAATAGTGCAACATGTTTTGGTACACAATCTCATAGAATGCCCAGCTAAGGGAAAACGTATACAAGCCTTTATAGGTCACCTTTAACAGACTTAATTAAAAAAAAATCTTAACCCTGTGACTTATATATCTTTTACATTCAGATTCATGTTTCTATACATCTGTAATTGTATCTATGTTCATTTTATGTTGAACTTTGATATAATGCATATTTTGTGCATCCTTTGATGTTTTTTTCTTGATCCTTTTTGCAAGACTGTGCAAATCACTTGCTGCCTTCTCACTCTATTCTGAATAAACTGTTTTGGTTTTGAAACCATTGAAAGCCCTCAAAGATCCAAATTGAATTCCTTGTTTGCAACCTTTATATTTCCTTCTCATTTTTTCCTCTCTAATAGCTTTCCTGTACAAAGTCTGGCTAGCCAGTAGCAACATATAATTAGAACCACTCCAATCACTGTAGTAGTTTCATATTAACGTGGCACCAGTTTGTTTCTTCCAACCCATTAATGGTGCTCTGTTTGAGGTACAAGGCTATTTATGCATATCCTTTGCTACTAAGGGTTGTATTCTTGCATATACTGCTGTCAATATCACCTCTCTTCTTAGTAGCTAGGGGTAAGCGGATTTGTTGTTTTACATCCTCTGCTTACTTATGAATTGTCAATATAGCCACTTGTTAAAAGCTAAATGAAGGATACTTAGAATTTATATTGCTCAGGTGCTGTATGTACAGTCAGCAGTTGCCATTGTATCTTATTAACTTGTTGCTATTGAAGATGAGACTTTGAAACATAAAGGAAGATGGATTTTTCTGTTAAATTATAGGCTTAAGTTTGATAAGTTTTCCCCAGTTGCTGTAGCAGCCTTTTCTCTTAACAAAACATCACCCTACCTTTTCCCTCTAATTCAAATTTTGTTTTCCCAGTGAATTTTAAATCTAATTTATGTCTTTCTCCTGAAATTGATGGAATGGGGAATACATAAACTCCACTGTGGGAAATACAGAATTATATTATAAAATCCATACTATATTATAAAATTCATCTATTTTCATGGAGCTTTCTATTTAGTAAAAAATCCTCCACAAAAGGGCAAACTTTTTCCAACAAACCGCCTGAAATGGAAAGATTAACACACACAGGGTGCTGCGTAATTTAGTTTACTTGCTAGTTGCTGGCTTCCTTTTAGCTTTAGATAACCTTTCTGTCTTTGAAGATTACCCTTAGGTGTCCAGTGATGAAGAAGGAATTGTTGGTTGTCAGTGCAGTACTGTGTATTATATTTGAATCTGAACCAAGGCTCACATTTTTATGATTTTGTACAGCATGTAAACTGCTTTGGAATTCAAGGGGAAAAGAGCCCCCTGTTTTATCCACTAAACTATCTCACTGTAAAAACCTCTTGGCTATTTTCAAAAAGATTTATTCTGTCATCTGAATGTTGGGTTTGTCCTTGGTATAAAGAGGGGCTTCAGCATGAGAATGGGAGGATATAAAATTAAAAGACCAGCAAAAATTTACAGTACAATTTAAACTGTATTCCTGTATAGCCAACTGACTTCATAATGCATGATTACTCAACTTCGGAGACCATTCTGTTAAATGAAATAGTAACATTTTGCCCAAAATTAATCCAACTAGAATGATTTTGGAGGGTTTCTTATGTTTTGCTTGTTTTTTTGCCCTTAGTCACAACTTCAATGTGTACCTGTTGAAAGAATCCCAGTGTGCACTGTAGAATATCCTAAAAAAGAATAAGTGCTTTTTTAGGTAAAGTAAGAGTCCTTGTTGCTCTTCTGTAAAGAGGAATAAGTGACATGATGTTTGTTAAATGATTAAGTACTTGAAACATTTCAGTTTATGGTAATTCAACTAAATTACATTAGTATAGCATTGTTTTTGTTTAAAACTGAATTTATCAAACTTCTTTTCACTGCAGTCCCCTTTTGACAACAAAAATTACAACCCAATCCCAATACGGGGTACCAAAGCCTGAGCCCACTCAAGCCCCTCCACCTACAACAAGGGGTCTTAACTTGAGTCCTGCAACACAGGGTTGAAACCCTTGGGTCTTTGCTTCAGACCCATGCAGTGGGGCTCAGGCTTGAGCCTGGGGGTCCCAGAAAGTATCTGAGCCCTGGTTTCCGAACTCCTGACCTATAGTTTGAGAACCATTGGTTTAAAATATGAATGTAAAAAAAAAATTGAACTTTTATCAGAAATATTAAATGTCAGGTAAATTTGAATTCCTGTATGCTCAGAAACTGAATCTTAGAAACCTGTATTTGTTTTTATATATCTAATGATGCTCTTAACTTGCATGTTTTTTATAATCCATACAAGCCTCTTTTGCTTTGTTTTATTCCTTTTGCCTCATCCCACTCCTGATCTTGTTTTCTCTTTCAAGCTGTCCCAGGTGCAGGGGACCACCTCCCAGGAAATATGTGCCAAGTAGGATGTTAGGGATCGTGTAATTGAGTAGTTGTATAACTGCATGAAATCTTAGCTGTTACATGACTTTTTGACAGTCCCTGGGGGTGGGGCTGGCAGTATGCGGTGACAGGCGTGAGCCAGTCTGTGAGGGGAGCCAGTTTAAAAATTAGCTCCCCATGCAGACCGGCTGGGGGGCCCCCCCCACCTCACT